AGCAGGCGGGTCAGGAGAGGTCTGCCTCGCCATGTGGATCTCCTCCGGGGCAGGCGGGAATCGAACTCATGCTGAAGTGGCTTTAGCTTCTTAGTGCAGTTCTTTAACCTGCTGTACCACCAGGGAGGGCCAGGTACTGTGTTTTTAATAAATAATTTATTAAAAAACAAAAGGACTTCCACTAAACTCCCCCTGAGGCCTCCATCCCCGCCCTCCTGGTTCTTGGGTAAGAAAAATGGCGCTCAGTTCTGAGTTAGCAAGTGCTCAGAAGAGGCTTCCCATCACAGCGAGAGGGGCAAGTGTCCTCACTTAGATGGGTGGGGGATGTGGGGGGCTCAGGGACAAGAGCTGCCCCCTGTTGGGAAGAAGGGTGAGTTTGGCTAGTGGAAGCTGGGGCCAAGCCAGGGCCAGGAGTTGTTGATATCAGCCTCACACATGGATGGCGCCAGTGTGGTGGGGGGTATTACTTGGGTGTCTCCTGGGCTCTGCATATGTTCCTGGGAAGGGGTGTGCCAGGCCAGTTCCCACCCACGCACATTACCCCCTCTGCAGGTTTGATCCAAAGAAAGGATTTTGGTGCCAGCTGCTTGAAGGAGGAAAAACCAAGTGTCTGGGCAAAAGCAAGGGCCGGAAGTACCCTGAGATGGACTTGGATGTAAGTGGTACACCCTAGGGTTGCTGGGTGGATGCAGGGGTCTGTGTATTGGGGCTGTCTTCCTCGGCCTCACCCTCCTCTGGGCATGGTAATGGCCTTGGTGTTTCTGGGACCTGTGGGAAGAGGGGCTGGAGACGATGGGCCGGAGCTGAGGTAGTCAGATGGGTATTTATCTTCTGCTGAGGCTGAGTGCTCCGGGGCTCTCATGATGACCAGACATGCTCTGTGCCTTCGGGGCTTCTAGTCTAGGAGGGGGTGGGCCCCCCACATCAGAGGGCAGCTGTGAGGCACAAAGCTCTGGAGCAGGGAGAGGTGTGCTCAATGCTGAGGAGCTAGCATGGGGGTGCTGCTTGAAGCTAGGGGTGAGGAGGGGCCTCTGGGGTGCGTTTGGACCCACGCGATGAAGAAGGTGTTCTATGGGCGAGAAGGTGAAAAGGACCCGGGGTGACAGCACACAGTGACCTTCACGCTTCCCTGTTCCCGCTGGCCCTGTTTTTGGTTCATTCTTTTCTCCCTCTCCCAAGAATTTGGTGGTCCTCTGCATCGGAAACTTTTCTTTTGGAGGCTCTCATTTTGGCGGAGGTTGTGACTAGTGACAGGTGTATGGGCTAATGGCAACGGAATGGTGTTTTTAAAGAGGAAGGTCACTCCCAACCCAACATGTGACAACGTCGACCTTTTCTTCCTATTACAGTCCCGCGCCTTCCTAAAGGACTATTACCGGGACCACAATGTTGAGCTTTCCAAGCTGCTGTACAAAATGGGCCAGACTCTGCCCACCTGGCTGCGGGAGGACCTCCAGAACACCAGGTAGCCATGGCTACCACAGCCTGAGGAATGCTTGTGATGGCAGGGACGTCCCGTCGCACGCTGAGCCAGACTGACCGGCAGAGTGGGGAGCCGGGTCTGGGCTGGCCGAGCACTTACGAGCAATACTCCGCTAAGGCCCGGGCAGGGCCACGAGCGCCTCCGGTCATCCAGTGTTGAGCCTGCGGCTTGTGGGGCCTCCGGAGGTCCGTTCTGTTCACAGCCTTTCATGGGAGGCCACTTCCTGTTGGTGGGAGGCCACTTCCTGGTAGGAGGAAGTCCGTCAGACTCTTCTGTCCCTCACTGTGCTCTACCAACCTTACTCTCCCTTCATCCCATTGTCCCCTGCCCCAGCAGGGTTTCCCTCAGTATTAGCTGCCATGTTTTCCCTGTCCTCCAGACAGCAAGGGAGAAAAGCCCAGATGGGTCTTTTGCCAAACCAGGGAGAGAGACTGGACATTTCCCTGACCATTTCGAGCCAGACCCTTTGGAGGGGTCAGCTGGATACCTGGGACAGGCATCAGACTGACCAAGATGGTGGCCACCTGCCAAGAAGGTCAAATCTGCTCACACCTTCCCACCTCACCTTCCCTTTTGGGGAGGGAGTCATTGGTTCCGACAGTATCCACCCGGTCCTCAAGGCCTCCCCAGGCCCTGGGGTACTGCCATGCCATTTGGACCTAGAGATCCAGGCTTCCCTCCTACCCCTTTCACCCTGGGATACAACGTGTGTGGTGTTTCCTGTGGTAAAAGACTTAGGCGGTTCAGGAGTCTGCCAGTATACACGTTCCAATGTACATACGTGTCCCCAGGCCCCCGGCCGTGGCCCCCACGGCACTGGGCAGAGCGGGTGAGACTATTTCCACTGCTGTGCTCCAGCAACCTGTGGCCAAGGGTTCCTGGAGACCCCCCCTAACCTCCCCAATACTAAGAAGCTAAAGTATTTTAATATTTTGGTTTTTTTTTTCTGGTGCCAGAGTTTATACCCTGGGTGCTGGGGTCGCACTGTGTTTTATATATATGTATATATGTATGTGTATATTCGCACGTATACACACACATATATAATGTGTATATATATATATATATTATATTTTTTTGGTTGGGTTTGTTTTTAATTCAGTTGTACAAATGGTGGCAGTGTGTCGTGTCCCAGTGCCGGAGCGGGAGGTGAAGAGGTGGGGAGGTGTGTCTCCGTGTGTTTCTGGAGGCCGAGTGGAACTGTCCTCTGGAGACCTCTGTCCGTCTCCCGTGGCTGTCCTGGGGCTGCCCCATGTGAACAGAGGTGGTGACAGGTGCACAGGGAAGATTACTCGCGCCAGGAAATGCGGCTGCGTGAAGCCTAGGAACCCAGGGCAATTTTGGCCAAAGGAAACAGCCAGGCTGGGGTAGGACCCAGGGCCCACAGCTGGCCCATCCCCCTCCCCTCACATGGTGCTAGGTTGGGAGCTGCCCGGGCGCTGGGAGGCCCACCGAGACCCCTACGGCCGCTCCAGGCTGCCCTGCAGACAGCAGGGTCCCTGGGCTGTTTCTGGTTGGGATCTGCTCCTTCCCTCTTTTTAACAATGTGAAGTAATAAGGCCGGGGTGCCTCTCCCCAGCCCCTTCCCACCACCAGTTCATTTTCGAGCTGACACCCAGGGACTCCTGTCTGGAGAGCCTTGTCTTGTTCAGAAGCTTTAGCATCCTGCGGCTGGAAGGGTCCTCTGACAGGTTTGGAAACAGGTCCCGAAAGAGGCTGCCTGGGCCAGCGGCATGGAGCTGGTTGGGAGTGGGCCGAGAGTTGAACCTGAAGCTCCTGAGTCAGAGTCCTGTGCTCTTCTTCCAGTGCCACACTGCCTCTGAGCCCGTCTCTGGGTCCCACCTGTGCCAGGTTCCTGCCCCTCCCTCGGTCACACCCTTGGTCATTCCAGGACATGGGGACAAACCACTCCTTGCTAGCCAGGGTGCCTTCGAGCCTTCTCAGCTCCAGATCTGCATTTACATCCCTACCTTCGCTCGCCTGCCTCCGCGGTCCTCCCAAACTGCAGGGCCTGGATCTGTCTCAGCTCTGAACCGATCCTCTCTTCCCACATTCTCCATCAGGATGGAGACAAAAGTCAGAAGCTCAATGGTTGGATGGTTTCCTGTGGTCGCGCTGCCTGTGAGGAAAGTGGTCTTTCCTGGAGTGCCCCTAGCAGTGCTGTCAAGCCTAGAACCTGGGTAGGGTCAGCTCACAGTGCATAGGGAGCCCAGTACCTCCTCACACGCTTGTGAAGATCCGCCTGCACTGTGGAGCCCGGCTCCAGCGTGGGCGACCCGGGTGCAGAGCCCAGGCCTCTGTCCACCTGTCAGCGAGGCCTGGGCTGCGTGACGCCTGAGGACCTACCAAATTGCATTCTGACATCTGCCAGGTAGCTCTCTGCTTCTGGCCCAGGGAGGGAGCAGACAGGTTGGAAACCCTGTGGGAGCAGAGAATATACTGAGGACTGTTGTCCAGGCTCTTCTTGGGGGGCTGGCACTTCACCTGCCACACGTCCTTATGTGTCTGGTCATGACGACTTCACCCCTTCCCACGACCCATTGTCTGTTGGACACCCACAGTTGGGACCTGCAGGTGTTGGGAGGAAGAGAGAGATGCCCCTTTGGGGCTCTGTGGCTGAGCACATGGATGCCCCTCACAGGAGAAAAACAGGGTCAGTGGGTGCGGTAACATCTTTAGAGGTCACCAATGCACTATCAGTGGTTGGCCAGAAAACTTACACACACACACACACACACACACACACACACACAC